TGACTTGGAAGTGATTTATTAGGTCATTTGCAAAATGCTGTAAAACGTTCTAATTTTTATGATCATCCACTTTCTAAATTTTAGGTATGGCCGCAGGAGAGCAACCCAGCTGCCAGTGGTCCTTCTGCTAATATTTGTCTTAGTTTCTGGTATGTCTCCAAATTTCTATGTTTACATAGTGTCACAGTTCATTATTGGAACGGCATATGGAGGATACAGGAGTAACTCTGTTGTTTTAGGTAAGATTTCTTTGTTATATTTTTTCTTGGGTTTTTATCACTAGAACGGTGAAAATTTGTTGCTGTAGCTGTGTTGTGATTTTGTTGTTCAAATTCTGTCTGTAGCTACCGAGTGGACTGGGGTCACCAAAAGGTCTTTTGCCTCATGTTTGAGCCAGATGTTTGGGGCTCTTGGACAGTGCGCCATGGCTGTTCTGGTATATTTTATTCGTGACTGGAGAAAATCACAGCTTGTCTTGGCAGGAGCACAAGTCTTTGTATTCTTCTACATATGGTATGTGCTCTGTATACTTGAATTCATTATTCTTTGCACGGTGCTGTATTTGCATATTATCACACTTCCTATTCATAGGTAGTCTGTAACTTAAATTGTGCAGAAGACCTTCAAACGTACAAGGGATATTTACCATCTTGTCTTATATTCTAAAAAAAACCTTGTTGGAAACGAATTTTCTGATCAAGACTCAACCCTATTTTACCCCTTCTCCATATAAATCAGAAGCACACTGCTTCAGGCTACTAGCAGGGGTCTGTAGGCAACCCTGCCAGGATGCATCGTTATTAGAGGAGCAGAAAAGTTCAGAAACCGCTGATATACGCTAGTTAAATTAAGTGCATCATGTATCTTCAAGGAGGGGGGGATGCGACATGATGTAACATTAGCATGCTGGCTACTGAGACATTGGCAGGTGTAACGGTAGAGAGTTTTTCAGGTTGTTGTGAAACAAATGACCATTATACATTGAAACAATGTCGAACTAAGATATTTCAATTAATGTTGTAATTTTTCTAAATCCTTATTAATGGAGAAAATGCTACATTTGTGGGTCTCTCGAGTCCCTTTTGCAGCTATCTTGCCAGTGATTCACAAGGCATTCTGGGACATTTTCACAGCCCTCTGTATATGTATAGCCCTAACACTTGGCCCTACCCGTCCATCCCAACAAGAATTGGGACACCCTATCCCTACATGCATATGCATCAAATGGAGGAGGTTGGGTTAGGGATAAGGGGTGAAATGGGATTGAGCCTTAGACTCTGACTAATTATGGACAATTTATGTATAAATTGCTATCTTTTCAGGTGGGTGCCTGAATCGGCAAGATGGTTGTTGGGACATGGAAGAACTGAAGAAGCTCAAAAGTTGATACATGAAGTTGCAGCGATAAATAAAAAGAAAATCCCAGAGATTCTTCACATCACGGCAAGTCAGATTCGGTTTTCTCCACATTTGAACAAATTAGTTAAATCTAAAGCTATGCTAGCAGTTCTGTTTGGCTGCACCTTGACACAACAAAAAATATTTAAAATTCCAAGCCTATGACTGCCTATATCAAATCACACAATAATTCCTCAAATTGTTTGTGAGAGGAAAAGTGAGTAGTTCGTCACAGTCAGTTGGACTCATCCTCTAGGGACTTTGAAAACCGCTGCTATCACCTACATTTTTAAAGTGTAGTCCTGTGTTTCATAATACATTTAAAGGTGACTGGGGAACAAGAAGTCAAGAGTGGAGGACTGAAAAAAATATTTTCCTCAACAGTCCTCATGAAATATTTGTTCATAATGTCTTTTGCCTGGTAAGTAAAGCACATTTTAGAATGTACTTTTTATATTTGACATACTTGGATTTTCACTGTGATTTGTTTTATCAAGGTTTTCATTAAATCTGGGATACTTTTGCCTCACTCTGAATGTGGGTAAGTTTGGCCTGAGCATCTTCCTGGTTCAYTTCCTATTTGGAATCACTGAGATTCCAGCACATCTCCTCTGTATCTGGGTTCTGGAGTTGGTGGGGAGAAAAATATCCCTGATATCAACCCTCCTCACAGGAGGTTTGGTTTGCCTGCTTACCTTGGTTTTCCCTCAAGGTAAATTGCTCATGTGTCACATTCAGTACATGAGGATAAATTCAGTTGACTATCAGGGGTCTAATGTATTGTACTTACATTTCAGACAACGCTGTTGTTGTCACAGCCCTTGCAACCACAGGGAAATTCTTCTTGAACTGGGGTGGTTCAGTTTGTATGGTCTACATTCAAGAGCTGTTTCCGACTTCTGTCAGGTATGTAAAAATCAAGTAGCCTATGCAAAAATTAAATGTTGTACATTTAACTTAATATTTTTGAGGATGAACTCCATGTTTCCCTCTTTCAGGCAGACAGCTGTTGGCCTGGGCTTCACAGTGTTAAGAGTAGCAGGGTTGCTCTCTCCCCTGCTCAACATGTTGGCCATTTACCACTATTCCATACCCGTCGCAGTTTTCAGCAGCTTTGCAGTGATCAGTGGAACTCTATCTCTCCTCCTTCCTGAGACCAGCAAAAAAGAGCTTCTTGATTCAATTGATGAGGCCGAGAACAACCAGTAAACTGTAATTTGTGTGATGACATTAAAGACATTCTATTCTAAACAAGCTGAATGGAAACCAAATTACTGTGATGATTTACAGAAGAAGTTTGGAAATGTTTGCATTTGTTAGGGATCAGTTACAGGCCAACTTGGATGTACATCCTAATCAACATGGATAACACTAGAGTGAGATGAAAATGTTGATACCACTCTAACAGCTATATGACAGCTATACGGTTAGCTTAACTTAGCATAAAGACAGAAAAGAGGGGAAAACAGTCTTCCTTGTGTCCAAAGCAAAAAAAACGTATTACTAACTCATTAATAAACATGAATTATCTACTCTAGAGTTCTATTCCACCACCTAACTTTCTCAATTACTGATTCACTACAGTGTTCAAAATAATTCACTGGAGATGTTCAAAGGTCAATACAGTAGAGTTTATTCTTTTACAAGAGATAAACTCGAGCAGGCTCTGGAACCCAATTGAAGACTAAGCCTTGATATCTCTGCTTGTATTGCTCACCTTTGTCCTAAAAATAATAATATCAGTACTCTCTAAAATATCTCCCCCTACTGTTCCATATGGGCCAATTTTGAATTGTATTATGTTTGGCCTTTTCTCTGACACCTATTAAATCTTAGGGTGTTTCCTGACAGCAGCTTGATTTATTTTGGTTACGTAGTGTTTTATAATGAGGATATAACTACATGTCATGCCTTTATAACATGGATATATCTGGTGTGAGTACAACATGCTGAAACAATGTTTATTACTAATCATGTGTACTATAAACAGAGAGTGAAATGTGACATGAATACTGATTACCTCTCATGATGAATGTCTTATATTAAGAACATTACAAACACAGAGTAGAATGTTTCACAAAGGTTTTCTTCAACATAATCATGTCTCATTTTTAAATCTTTGGACAATCTGTAGTAATATAGGAAATTTGGGATGTGATACAATCAAATGCATTGAGATACATACAAATCGTGAGGCTAGTGAAGGTGCACTAGTGAGCACACAATCGCACCTCCCAGCTCCGGTTCCAGTTGTGGTGGTTTTTCTTTGCTTGTGTGGAGCTGAGCGGTGATGAACAAAGCTACCGGTGCCTCCAGTTTACATCTAATTACCCTAAAGACAAAAACAAATATTGTTCACCTGTGTCTTTCGAGGAAACAGACAGAGGGTAAAACAAACACCATCTAAATGTGTGTTTTTGTTAAGCTTTCTTTCCATTAGAGTGAAAGAAGACATGGAAGCAAATCAGACCAAAATCTCAAAAATTGACCAGTACATGAAAAAGCTGTGTTTTACTTGTAGTGTCCTTTAAACTGCATAATTTTGATTGCAGGCTCCTCATCTAATAACTATTCATTCTACTACTCTTGAGTATTGCAGTGGCAATTTCTGTGAAACAAGCACAAAGTCAAACACTTCTTTCTGTAAGTTTAATTCAGCATCTGCAGATGGACTCATCAGTACACATCACCTGAATGACATGCACAAAAGAGCAAAGAACATAGGAGAATCTGTGTTCTTATAACTCAGAGGAGGAGACCGCTGTCCTTGTGTTGTTTACTTGTTCTGTGGATGATCCCCCTGTGAGACCCCTGGTGTTTGATCCCAATCAGAGATACCAAGAGATGCCATTAAGTTGTGGCTTCTCGAGGCCATCATCGTAAACTCTAAAGTTGCTCTTTTAGATAACCATTTGGTCTGTCCTCCACATACATGTCTGCTCGTGCAATTGTACATACACAAAAGACACATTTCCAATACAGTATTTAACAAATGTGTGAGTATTAAAATAAATTGTTGAGTCAGAGATGTGATGCTTTATTTAACTTTTTTATAAGTAATTATGAGAAGTGCCGTTTTTCTCATTTGAGCCTCTGCCCCCCATTATGTCTTTGAACGTCCCTGAGTCACACATGTGAACAGTAATAAATCAATTTAATTTAAAAACATTAATTGCAGATAAACCAGCTAAGATGAATGTAAAATTTCCTCTGCAACATAGACCGTTTATAAAAAGCTCTGCTCACAACGTCCACCACACAAACAATAAACAGTGACAGCATACTGCAGAACTGTATGAGGAGGAATCCGTAATAAGTAGCTCAAGAGCATTAACACAGGAGAAGAGAACAGAGCATTCCAAACAGGCAAGTTTACAACGGGCACAGTTAATATGAACAAACAGTAAGTACATTTTCCTTTTTAAAAAGATTTTTAAAACAAGACACTATATATTTTTGAATATGCATAGCCACATGATAGAATCCAAGGTAATGTTTGTTAATTATGTGATAAAAACCTTTCTTATTTGTTTATGTGCCTGAATAACATGTAAACTATTAGCTGACCAAGTTTACATTCAAATGTTCACATATTTAAAGACTGACTAGTCATCTGGTTAAATATTTATTTTGAAAGTGGTTCAAACCACACTAAAGCGGCTGAGCAGTTAAGCCCAACAAATCATCTGCAGTGTGGAAATGGATTTCGGAGAGACTCTGGCAACCATCGGAGACTTTGGTTTCTTCCAGAAGGTTCTCATTCTTGCCTTAACCTTCCCAAATATCTTACTACAAACTGTCTTTTGTAGTTTACTTTTTGTCCAGTCAGATCCAGACCGACACTGTAACACAGACTGGATCCTCAGAGCTGATGCTAACCTGACCACAGATGAGCAGCTGAACCTGACTCTGCCCCGGGAAAAGGATGGGACCTTCAGCAGGTGTCAGATGTTTGTCCCTGTYGACTGGAACATCAGTGTCATCAGGGAGAACGGACTCAATGAGACTACAGGCTGCCAGAATGGATGGGTGTACTACAGCACTCTATATGAGGCCACAACTGTCACTGARGTGAGTTGAAGTATGWTGTAGGATTTCTGATTTCTTCTGTAAACTGTGCTGACTGTCATGCTGTTGTTTTTGCAGTTTGATCTCGTCTGTGACAAGTCTTTTCTGGTAGAAATTGTGCAGACAGTCTTCATGAGTGGTTCACTTATTGGTGCCATTATCTTTGGACCTGCAGCTGAATCGTAAGTGACTTGGAAGTGATTTATTAGGTCATTTGCAAAATGCTGTAAAACGTTCTAATTTTTATGATCATCCACTTTCTAAATTTTAGGTATGGCCGCAAGAGAGCAACCCAGCTGCCAGTGGTCCTTCTGCTAATATTTGTCTTAGTTTCTGGTTTGTCTCCAAATTTCTATGTTTACACAGTGTCACAGTTCATTGTTGGAATTGCAATTGGAGGATACAGGATAAACTCCATTGTATTAGGTATGACTTCTTTGTAAATTTTTCTTTGATTTTTAAGACATGATAAAACATGGTACTAGGCGTACTGAGGCCTTACAAGAATAAAGTCATAATATTACAAGACATTGTAATATTACGTGATTAAAGTCATAATATTATGAGAATATGATTGTAAACACTGAGGGAGAAAAACACAGCCATTTCCTCCTCCACAAAATTTCCCCCAAATCTCTATGGTTCTTTCATTTTAATAGACCTAGTTTCTTGCACAATCTTTTGAAATCATTGATACTTAAGATAATGTGGTGCTGATGTGGCAAAAGATTCAGTCATTTGTTATATGTGAAATCTATACCAAAGTATAGTTTCTCAATATGCTCCATGTCACTTTAACACAGACGCAGGCTGCTTTTCTGAAATTGCATGTAATCTAAAATTACGTGTTTTTCTTCGAGATGTTATTTATTCTCGTAACATTATGACTTTTTTCTTGTAACATTATGACTTCATTCCTCGAAATGTCCTATTTTTTTTCTCCAATGTAGCCCCTAAATTCTGGCATAAAACGATCCTATATTTTAAAAACATTTGTTGCTGTATCATGATTTTGGTGTTTAAATTGTCTGTAGCTACAGAGTGGACTGGGGTCACCAAAAGGTCTTTTGCCTCATGTTTGAGCCAGATGTTTGGGGCTCTTGGACAGTGCGCCATGGCTTTTCTGGTATATTATATTCGTGACTGGAGAAAAGCACAGTTTGTCTTGGCAGGAGTACAGGCCTTTGTATTCTTCTACATATGGTATGTGCTCTGTATACTTAAATTCATAATCCTTTTTACAGCGCTGTATGCAGCTATTATCACACACCCTGTTCATATCAATCTGACCAAATTCTGTTTAACCATGTGTATCTGGCATCTTTGCTCTAGTGTTACATGAGATAATGAGCAAATGCAAAACTGGTTCACTAACAATGCATGTTGAACAATTATTCTTGTTGGAAGCTCAGTTTCTGAATAAGAATCTGACAAATTTTCTTTGACATTTAAAAATTTTGTTTTTTAAGGTGGATTCCTGAATCTGCAAGATGGTTGTTGGGACATGGAAGAACTGAAGAAGCTAATAAGTTGATATGTAAGGTTTCAGCAATCAATAAAAAGAACATCCCAGAGAATCTTCTCCTCACGGCAAGTTGGATTCAGTTGAATCTACAATTTAGGAAGTGAATGAACTGATAACATCTTGGTAGTAGAAGGTCAAAGGTCAGGGTCAGAGTGACCTCATGTTTATGTGAACATGATATTTCAGTTCAATCTGACCTCACAAAACCCTTTTTTGTCTGATGAATGCATTATTTTACAAACATCTCAAGAGAATCCTTTTAAATTTGGCACAATTGTTCACGAAGACCCACTGACTGAAAAGTCAAGGTAAAATGACCTCATATGAGTCTGAAGAAAAAATCACTGTAGCCTGAAACTGCACTGGTTAGCAGAGGTATACAACTGCAGCATGGTAACTCTACTTGGTGTTATCCTCAATTTAATAATAATACATTTCCCTTGCAGGTAACTAGGGAACAAGAAGTTCGGAGTGGAGGAATCAAA